TCCAGGAAAATGCCCTTGAATGGGGCCAACGATCCCATCCCACGCTCCAAGTCCTGCACTCCATGGGACACATTTTCTTACTCACTAGAAGCCTTTAACTCAACTCATGTCAACTGTTCCAAGGTAAGGTGGGTAGTGAAAGGCTTCATGATTTTTCCAAGAAGATGGACAGTATATCCACAGTAAGGAGAAGTAGATGACATCCATACATCATCATATACTTAAAGCTTTCATCATTCAAAATCTTTCCTTGCTTTGGATTTTTGGAGATAATAGGTAGTATTTTTTTTCTCTTCCATGCTTGCCATTTGCCAGGCGCTATTCTAAACACAACTCTGTAAGGTAGGTACTTGACTTAACTCGGTCTGTGTGGCCACAGAGCCCACATCTGTAACTACCACATGTGACTGATTATTCCTGTGTCCCCCAGAATACAACCCATGATTAGAAGTCACCAAGGGTCTACAATTCCTGCTCCTAGGATGCTAAAAATGATCGCAACCTCGCCGGACTTTGCCAGTGGTTCCTTCAAGGCTGTGACCATAGGCAAACCTGTGCTCATCCTCATTGCCAGCTTGAGCGTCTAGGGCAGTTCAGACAATGGACAACAGCCATTTCAGCAGAGGGCTGGCTGAATGTTGTATGGGATTTATCTGTCTCAGAAGAATGAAAGCTTTGCCTGGCCTCTCTCCCCTACGTATTCCACTTTGGTGCACCTAAAAGGTTTAGTGCAGAACAGGGAGGCCCTAAAACTGAGAGGTAAGGTTAGGGTAGTGCTGGTGCATACAGGTGTTGGGAGTTGGCCAGAGCAGAGGGAGCACCCTGGCTCTGACGCTTTGTAGCTCCTTTCTGAGCTTCACTTTCCTCTGTGTGAAATGGACTGATCATTGTACTTAACTCTGAGAACTCCTGAGAGAAGTTAAATGAGAGCATACTAACGCCGTGCCCGGCACACATTCTCATGGAATCTTGTGGGGATTAAATAAGCACACCCCTGTGAAGAGCTGAGATCAACTCGCTGGCACCTTGTAAGCACCAAGTAAGTCTTACTGTTCTGGACTCTCCCTAGGTGACTTAACTTCAAAGCCTTCAACTTCTACTTACACCTTCAAAAGTTTTTGCCAGTTTCCTTCTGAGCTCTAGACCTAACAGTTCTGTGTTCAACAGGACATTTCCCCATGGAAGACACACAACGTTTGCTCATGCTCTGGGCCTTTGTATACAATACATACCACTGCCTAAAAAGCCAGTTGTTAGGGGAAAAAAAAAAGCCATTTTCTGGGTTTGTATACCTTGGGTGGCAAAGAACAGAGACTCCTTAAGCAACCTCAGGTTAGGAGAGCTACAGGGAGGCCCTGAGTGGGGGACAGGCTAGGGAGGAGTTTCAGCCATTGAGTAGCCCAGCTTTGTTGGCTGGATTATTTCATTGCAAAGGGTCCTTTGGGGCAGGCTTCCCTTGGGAGAAAGGATCTCACTCCTGATTACTTGGCTGCCCTTAGGGGATAGGCAGAGTGACTCCATATGGTCCCCAAAGTCTTACTGTGGTGGCCTCCCTTGGAGAACCTGGAGCTTACCTACTTTATCATGAGGCCCTCAGAGGTACTAACCTCTCTTCTGTGGAAGCCCATCCCTGAAGCTTTGGCTTTGGGTGCTCCTCCCCACAGCCAGCTCAAACACTCCTGGCTTTGAGACGCCTCTGACCTTATTAGTCATTCTCTCCTCTGCTTCATCGCGTCTAAACACTGTATTGCAGTTATTGATGTCTAGAGCTGGTTCCCCAGCTAGGCTGTCAGCTAGCCAGGGCGGGAGGTGCAGATTATTCACATTTGTATCATCACCACCAAATGGGCCATCACTCCATATTCGCTAAGTGAAAACACAAGCATCTTTAGTGCTTTGTGGGGCCCACTGTCCTTAAAGAAGGTACAGGGGACCTTCTATACAAATGAAGCCAACTGGGTCTGGGGGGTATTTTACATACTTGCTGATTTTTTTAAAGTAAATTAGTTGTTTTTAAAATAATATTTTTTGTGATTTAAAAACAATGTGCACTGAAAATTTAATTTAAAAAAATGTTTTATTTATTTATTTATTTCTGAGAGAGAGAGAGAGGGAAAGAGAGAGGGAGAGAGACAGAGACAGCGTGAGCAGGGGAGGGTCAGAGAAAGAGGGAGATACAGAATCCAAAACAGGCTCCAGGCTCTGAGCTGGCTGTCAGCACAGAGCTCGACGCGGGGCTCAAACCCGCAAACCGTGAGATCATGACCTGACCTGAAGTCAGACACTTAACCGACTGAGCCACCCAGGCACCCCTGAAAAACGTTTTTAAAGTTCTGAATGTGTAAAGTTAAAGGTTAAAAATTCCTCTTATTTTCTTCCAAACTAACCCCCACAAGCAAATACCAGTAACAATTTTTTAACAGCTTCATGGATACATAATTTAGATACCATACAATTTGCTTATTTAAAATTATATATGCAGTGTTCTTTGATATATTCACAGGGATGGACAGCCATTACAACATAATTTTGGGACATTTTTATTTTCCCCAAAAGAAATTCAGTGTCCACGTCCTTGCTTTGGTAGCACAAATACTAAAATGGGAAAGAAGTTCTGTGTCCATTAATTGTCACTCTCCATCCCTAAGCAACCACTAATCTACTCTGTGTCTGTATAGATTTGCCTATCCTGGAGACTTCATATAAATGGAATCATTTGGATGCGTTCTTTTGTGTCTGGCTTCTTCCACTTGGCATGGTTTTGAGGGCCATCCATGTTGTAGCAGGTATCTGTACTCAATTCCTTTTATTTTTTGGCTATAATATATTTTATTAACCAATCAGTCACTATTAACAATATAATACACTCCCTACAGTTGTTCAGATGGCCTGAGTTTAAGTCCCTTCTGGATAAGTTCTTAGATGACTGACCTTGGGTAAATCATAATCTCTCCAAGCCTGCCTCAGTTTCCTCTATATTAAAATTTGAATAACAAAAGAACTACCCGAGTGTCATAGTTGTACTGTCACAGTAATTAATATTTGCTGAGCATTTACTACGTGTCAAGTACTTTATAAAGAATGCCACACAGACCTATGATTTACATATTAGGAAACTGGGGTTAGGAGAGGTTAAGTAATCTCCCAAGGTCCAATAGCCTCTAAGAAAGTGATGGAGGTAAAGAGAATCACAGGCCATCTGACTGCAAAGCCTGCACCATTAACTGTTAATGTAATGGAACAACAAAGTGCTTAGTAAGGGTCTTGCAAAGAGAATGAATTTAGCAAATGATAACTGATACAACTATAAAAAAGCATAAAAAATTAGCAATTGACATATCATTAAAAATTTTTTTTTAATGTTTATTTTTGAGAGAGAGACAGACAGAGCACGAGCAGGGGAGGGGCGAGAAAAGAGGGAGACACAGAATCTGAAACAGGCTCCAGGCTCTGAGCTGTCAGCACAGATGTGGGGCTGGAACTCACCAACAGGGAGGTTGGTGACCTGAGCCAAAGTTGGAGGTTTAACCAACTGAGCCACCCAGGCGCCCCATACGTATCTTTTTTTTTTTTTTTTTTAAGATGTTTATTTATTCATTTTTGAGACAGAGAGAGCGCACGCAGGGGAGGAGCAGAGAGAGAATCCCAAGCAGGCTCTGGGCTGTTAGCACAGGGCGGAACATGGGGCTTAATCCCACAGACCATGAGATCATGACCTGAGCTGAAATAAAGATTTGGACACTTAACTGACTGAGCCACCCATGTGCCCTGCAATTGACATATCATTTAAAGACACTTGCTACTGTTCATATTCTGGCTCTTTCCTTCTAGCCCGTTAAGAAATATTTCAGACATACCGAAGTTTAGAAGGAAATGGACCTTCCATGTCTGGTTTTTTAAGACCTAAAATATAGATTAGGTGGCTCTACTTTAGGTATTTTTACCCCTGTGCATTATTTTTCTTTAGATTATTAGAGTAACACCATATCATTTTCTATCTTTTGATTACAGATCCTATCTTAAGCATTTCCCCTAGCATAACAAATATGCTACATGATTTCTCACGGCCGTATACATAATACTGCACGGCTGAAACATGCTTTATCAATTCCTCATTGATGGATATTCAGGCTATCTCCCTGCGAAAAAATGTCACTACGCAACCATCTACCTTCAAGCATCTGATAATTCTTTTTAGATAAATTCGTAGAAAGGCCGGGAGGTCAGAGTCTTACCCTTGACAGCTTCTTAAAAAAATGCTTATTTATTTTTGTGAGAGAGCGCGAGAGCGCGAGAGCGCGAGCATGCACTGGGAGGGGCAGAGGGAGAGAGGTGTTAAGAGAATCCGAAGGAGGCCCGCGCTGACTGCAGAGAGCCTGAAGCAGGGCTCGAACTCAGTAACTGTGAGACCACGACCCTAGCCAAAGTCCACGCTTAGGGACTGAGCCATCCAGGCGCCCCTACCCTTACATCTGTGTCTGTTTGCCAAATAGCTCCCAAAGAAGAGCGAGCACAAGAAGGGAGGCTGAGGGACCCCCCCCCCCGGCCTTTAAGTCGTTTTATTCAATTACAACATACAGAAACGTGCACAAAAGCGTACAACTCACTGAATTTTCAGAAACAGAACACACTGCGCACCCAACATCAAGACCAGGAAACAGAACCTTTCCAGCAGCCCGGGGCCGTCTTGCTTCTCGCCAGCACTACTTTCCGACGGGTGGGATTTTAACGCCACAGGCCTACCAACCCCATTATGTCTCTGGAAACTTAGTTTATTAATACTTAGCTATCACCTAGACCACGAAAATACGAGTTACGTCTTGCCTGCAAACATGTAACAGTCTTAGGTCCCGCAACGCGAAACGTTCAGGGAAGTCTGGCTGCGCCGAAGTCTCCGCCCGGGTCAGCCAGGCTCCCGACGCGCAGCGCGGCGTTCCCGGCGTGCAGCGCGGCGATCCCGACGTGCCCCGCGGCGCGCGTAACCGGCGGCTCGGTGCACTGCGAGGACCGCGGGGGCGGCCGCGGCGTAGCGTGAGGCTGCGCGCTTGCTGGCGGCCAGAAGCGACGACGCGGGGTCGACATGGAAGTGTGAGTGACCCAGGGCGCGTTCCCGGGCTCGCGGAAGTGTCCACAGCCGGGGGTGGCTGGGCCGAGGGGAGCCGAGGGACGCAGGCATGGAGCGCACCTTGTACCAGCGTGGGGGGCGAGGGGGAGGGCAGGCTTGGGGGGGGCAGCGGGGAAGAAAGGGACCCTTGGAACCTGCGACCGTGCGTCCTGTGCTTGGGACGTGGGGCCCAGCGCGGCTTGGCCTGGCTGGCTTTCAGTGTGCCTCTTCCCTCCATCGCTCATATCTTACTATGTCCTTGTTCCCTTTGGGGAGCTCGGCCCGGTGTCCCGGTGGGGACTTGGATGGTGTAAAGCCCAGAGTCCGTCTTGGAGATACCTACAGGAGAGATGGAGAAGTGCTAGATTCGAGCTTGGGGCTTACCCTGGGGAACCCTAACTGGGAAGCCCTAACTGGGAAGAAGGTCTCTCCGAGTTTACCGAGCGGTACGTCTTGCTAGGGAAGGGGCGGGTTTTCTGGGAAGAAGAAAGTACTGGAGCCAGGATTGGGATCTCAGAAACTGTATGTTTGCCTACTGTACGCGTGCAGATGGAAATTTTTGCTGCTGCTCCGCATGTGGGTTTTTCCACGGTTCACATTAGCTTGTAGGCATACCTGTATCGTGTTCTCTTTGGCACTGGTTATTTAATACTCACATTTTTCTTTGTGTTCTTTTGCCACATGTTTAATGGTCATGTATTTTTTCAGATTTTTAAAAAACACGAATATGTGTATGTAACCGAAATGAAAGCTTCGTGAAACAATACTTTTACTGTATTCGGTACACTATGATACTGGTTTTTTTTTTTTTATTAAAAAAAGAATGCTGATCCACTAAATTGATTTTGCAGTCCGTTAATGGGGCTTAATCTGCATTTTGAAAAACATTCAGGTATATATTACTGTAGCCCAAGCTATTACAAATGTCCCCTGTTTACCAGAGTGTTTCCTTAAACAATCCCGCTTTAATTTATCCATCTTAAAAAATTCCTTGTCCCCATATTCGTATCCACGTATTGCTCCGTTTTTGTTTCCCCTCAGAACAAAACTGCTTAGAAGTGTTTTTATTCCTCATTCTCAACCAGTCAGCTGGGCTTTCATCCACACCAATCTGCAGAAATGGTTTTGTGATGATTATCTGAGCCCTCCATCTTGTCAAATTCAAAAGTTGATTTTCTGTTCTCAGTCCTCTTGATCTCTTAGCAGGAGTTGATACAGAAACTCTTGTCAATTGTACTTTCAAAACAAAACAAAACAAAACACTCCAGAAACTCTTTGGCCTTGTGACATGCCGTCTGCATTTCCTGCTACATCAGGGACTGCTTCTCTGTCTCCTTTCCTGGTTTATCCTTCCTCCCTTGCTTGGCTTCTAAATGTTGAGGTATCTTATGGCTCAGGCCTTGGACCCCTTTCTCTCCGCACCCTCTGTCTTGGTCATTTTACCCATCTATATGCTGATGACTCCCAAAAATATATTTCTAACCCTTTTCTCTCATCATTCATCCAATTGCTTAGTCCAAAAATCTAGCCCTCCTTTTTCACCCCTAAATCCAGTCCATCAACGAGACATGTCATGTCCACCTTCGATATATTTTGTATGCAGTTACTTTTCACCATCTCTCTGGTCTGAATTAAGCAGTTAGCCTTTGGCTTCCACTCTTGTCCCCCCTCTATTCTGTTTTCTAGTCAGCAGACAGAGTAATCTTAAAATATTAATTGGGTCAAACATCCCCTATTAAAACTCTTCATTTACTTCCTGTTGTACTAAGAGGAAATCTACATTCCTTACCAGGACCTATATGACCCTGTATAACCTTACCTACTCACCAACCCTCTTTTGTGCTACTGTCCCCACCCCCAAACACACACTTTCCACTGGCAGTTATGTAGTTTCTATAATCTTCCACGCCCTTTACTTCCTCAGGACCTTTGCATTACTGTTCCCTCTGCCTGGTATACTTTTCTCTCTGTCCTGCTCCTCTTTATCTTTTTGATAGTTTAAGTTGTGTGTTGCTTTTCCTCTTCAGCCAGTCTAAAATAAGTCCTCCTTTTGTCTCTTACTGCACCGTAGTTTATTTTTCTTTTGAATAATTACAATTTGTAATAATAGATGTATGATTACTTGTTTAGGGCTTTCCTGCCTCCTGAGAAAGTTCCATGAAGGCAGGGACTCAATGTCTTTTCACCTAGTGCTCAGCACTGCATTTGGCATGCATTAGGCATTCAGCAGATAGTTGTTGAATGAACTTCATTAATCTAATAATTTAGTTAAAAATTAACATAATTGAGTTAGCTAGTTTCCTAATTGCTGAACCTATAGATTTTCTGGTTTTCTTAAGTGAAATGGTTTGATCAAGAGTTTTTTCTCCTATAGCAACCTGTCCATTTCTCCTGAGGACTCAGTGACTTTAACACCAGTCAAGAATCTTGCAGTGAGCAATTTATGGGAAAGTGATGTTTCCAGAGAGTGGAAGGACCCCTGGAATGGAAAGGTCTGGAGGCCTAACTTTAGTTCCTGCCTGGCCTCTAACATGAGGTATGATCTCTGGCAGTGTGGTCCTTATATAGCATCTTTAGCAGAAGCCTGAGTCTCTGAGAGGGCAAACATATTGTACCTCTTTCAGGCATTCCTAGGACCTAGGGGGAGGCGGCATGAAAGGACAACTCTGAGTTTTTACTACTTTTTTTCCGTCAGTCGCTGTGTAAATACTACTGAGTGAGTAATACATATAGACATATACCAGAAGTTTTTTTTTAAGGTGGTGAATATTTATACTTTATTTGATTGAGTGATAGAATTAAAAAAACCAGGGGCGCCTGGGTGGCTTAGTCGGTTAAGCGTCCGACTTTCGCTTAGGTCATGATCTCACGGTTTGTGGGTTCGAGCCCCGCGTCGGGCTCTGTGCTGACTGCCAGCTCAGAGCCTGGAGCCTGTTTCAGTCTGTGACTCCCTCTCTCTCTGACCCTCCCCTGCTCACGCTGTCTCTCTCTCCTAGAAATAAATAAAACATTTAAAAAAAAAAAAAAGAATTAAAAAAACCAAAAACTTGTTGACCATCATTTGGATATATTTTTCTCAGGTAAAAGGTTACAAAATATTCATAGGAAAATTAAATATTTGTATATATGAGGTATTTGCTATTTGGCTAACTTTGTCTAATGCCTTGGGTTTATTTATATACCTGGAAAACTTTGTGTTCATTCTTTTATTCTTGAACTTAATATACATAGTTAGGGGAAAGTTATCATCTTTTTGAGATCATGCAAGAATTTTCTTCATTTTACAGCTGGAAATACTGAGATTTAGAGAAGTTAGCTAATAGGCCCTATAACAGTTCAGTAACAGCACTAGTAAGAGGATAGTTTTTTGCTAGCTCCCAACAGAATACTACAGATTAAAAAGTTCATTGACTTTATGAGGCACCTGGGTGGCTCAGTTGGTTAAGGGTCTGACTTCAGCTCAGGTCATGATCTCACAGTTTGTGGGTTCGAGCCCTGCTCACAGCCTGGAGTCTGATTCAGATTTTGTGTCTCCCTCTCTCTCTGTCCCTCCCCTGCTAATGCTCTGTCTCTCTTTCAAAAATGAATAAGCATTTAAAAATAAATAAATAAAAAGTTCATTGACTTTGAAGGGTGCCCAGTTTTCTTGTACTTTAGTTTTTCAGAATGTGACGTGAATCAATAAAATTGAATTTGAGCAGTTCTGTTCATCATTACACACGTAAGTTAACTGTGTGGCAGTTAAAAGGTGCTGTTTGCATGTGTATGTGTGTTTCTAAAGAAAGGTCTGCCAGTAGATCATTTTGTTCTGTTTCTTCAGAATTTGGTTTTCCAAAGTAGTTGCTTGCATCCATTACGTTGACTCGGCAAGTTAAGCAGAATTTACACATTACGTTTCAAATAGCAAGGCAACTTCCATTAACTAATTTATTACTTAAGGAAATTAAATGACTCCTACATGTAAATACTGTTTCAAACAATCTTTAAAATTCACTTGGAATATTTGCTTTGAACATCCGTAAATAAAATCAGTACTAGTCTAAGTCAGAATATTTGGTTTAAACAGCTGTAAATAAATCAGTACTAGTCAAATCCTGTAGGAGAATATGAAATTTTATGTAGGTGGGGAGTTTCTGGAAGTCTGAATGCTTGTGAATGTATTACATAATACTGAAGTGTAAGCTATATAGAGAGCAGACAATTCCTGCCCAGTAGGAACAACAGCTTATAAATATATAATTGACAGATTATAGTCACCCTAAAAAACATTGGAGGAAAGTGCGTTTTATGTTCTTTTGTAAGTTATACTAATGTCTTTTCTAACATTATAGAAATCTTTAGTTTTACATTTCCATTTTTCTCAACTTTTTAGCTTGAAAAATTCAAAACCCATAGAACAGTTGCAAAAAAGAATACCACAGATACCGTCTATCTGTTTATACTCTCTATCTAGAGTCACTGTTAACATTCTGACATATTTGCCTTCTCTCTCTTACACATGTATGCATTCTCTCTAACACACACGCATGCGCACACACACTCATACTGAATCATTTCAAAGTTGGAGATATGTCATTTTATCCAGTCATAAAAATGTATTTTATTTAACTGCAATACCGTTGACACACCAGGGAATTTAGCAGTAATGTGGCAATATCATTAAACTACAGCCTATATTAAAATTTCTCCAGTTGTCCCAACAATGTTATTTTAGCTGGATTTTTTTTTTTAACCACCAATTCAAGATCTAGTCAAGAATCATACATTTTTAATTGTCCTACAACTTGTAGTGGTCATAGTTCTTTAATCTCCTTTAAGAACAGCTTCCTAGCCTGTTTTTCTGACATTGACATTGTTACAAATGACATTGATATTTGCAGAGTCTAAACCATGTGTTTTAAAGTATGTTCCTTTCTTTAACTTGGCTTTGTCTGATGATATCCTCATGACTAGATTCAAATTAAACACTCTTTGACAGGATTACCCTAAGGGATGTGTCTTTCTCAGTGCATCACATCATCATTGGTGCTGTTAAATTAGATCATTTGATTTAGTTGATGTCTGTCCAGTCTCACCATATACTGTTCCCAGCAACCTGCCACTTAGTGGTGGTTATAGTAGGATAAAAACTGTCTTTAAAACTTTTATCAATATACACAATTCATTCAGAAACTGAATAAAATGTAGATATTATCATGCCCATTGACATTTTAATTGAATAAAGGAAAGCCTAGCATGTATTGGCATTTACTCTATAAGTATTTGCTGAGTAAAAAAATTATTTATCTTCCTAATACAAGAATAAATTAATAAGTCAGCTTCTGCAAGCCAGAATCTCTGAGATGTGGTACTTGTTTAAACATCCGTTGTTCTCCTGGCCCCAAGACACAGGTTCATTAAAACACGTGTATAAGAGAGTGTCTCTCCTTTGTATATTGGTTTTAGTAAAGACAGATGATGTTCTTTGCCTTCTTTCATTAACAGTATTGGCCCAGGCAGTGAGGCAATAGCTTGGGATAGCCAAGGACAGATTTCCCAAGGCATGGAATATTCTCCACAACAGAGGAGAGGCCATGATTTGGAAATGAATTTATAACAGTGACACCTGGGATGGACCCTTTAGCCTTGAGGGAAAATAACATTTATATTATTTTCTAGTCTGTTCCAGGAAGGGATCTCTTAGTTACAGTGTGGACACACAGGGAGTTTTAACTCAATTTCAAGCAAAGATAGGAAGAAGCCTAGTGGGCTGACTTCCTGATTAAGTAGGCAAAGAAGACATGTGGTTTGATTTGTCATTTTCAATTTTAAATGCAGCATATCATATACACTAATTATGCATTGCCCTTCCTGTGTTAGATTACTTTTAAATATGATATTCTTTGTTGATCTGAGTGCAATTGTGGTCATTTGGGCAAAGCAACACTTTTGTGAAATCTCAGCTATTTGTTGAATGACCAGTAGCATTTGGTAAGGTTCACATGTTGACTTGATTAGAGCTGACGTCACTGTGTTCTGACCAAAGTCCCAGGTTGGACCCTTATGTTAGTTAGCCATGTGCTCGTTTTGCATTATTGATTGGGGAAATTACCCACCTATTTGGCCTACAGTTTTGAAATTTTATGTCAGCATTTTCATCATACAGCCCTGCTCCTGGTTTAGAAACAAACAGTAGTCTTTATTACACATTATGTCAAGTCCAGACATCTTGCTGAATTTTTAGGATTCTGTATTACCGATTTCTGTTTGTCCAATTCAGTCTCATTTTTTTCACAATTCCATTGGTTACCTTCTTCCTCAGTTAGGGTTCTTACTGCGTACCTTAAGCAAATTTAGAAATCTCTGAGCTTCAGTTTCATCATCAGTAAAGAAGGAATCCTAATAGTTCCTATATCACAGGGTTTTTAATGAGAATTCAGTGAAGTAGTATCTTTAAAAATTAATAACTTCCGGGGCGCCTGGGTGGCTCAGTCAGTTAAGCGTCCGGCTTCGGCTCAGGTCATGATCTCACGGTTCGTGCGTTCGAGCCCCCCGTTGGGCTCTGTGCTGACAGCCAGCTCAGAGCCTGGAGCCTGTTTCCGATTCTGTGTCTCCCTCTCTCTCTGACCCTCCCCTGCTCACGCGCTCTCTCTCTCTCTCTCTCTCTCAGAAAAAAATAAAACATTAAAAAAAAAAAGAAACTTGTTGCTGAAACTTTAAAAAAAAAATTAATAACTTCCATAAGGAAGATCTTAATAAATACCAGGAATTAGGCTACACTTTAAAAATTTGTTGTCTCGGGGCGCCTGGGTGGCTTAGTCAGTTAAGCGTCCGACTTTCACTTAGGTCATGATCTTGTGGTTCGTGGGTTCCGGCCTCGCATCGGGCTCTGTGCTGACTGCCGGCTCAGAGCCTGGAGCCTGTTTCAGAGTCTGTGACTCCCTCTCTCTCTCTCACCCTCCCCTGCTCACGCTGTCTCTCTCTCTCTCTCCTAGAAATGAATAAAACATTAAAAAAAAATTAAAAAATTTGTTGTCTAATTTCATCCTCTGTGAGGTAGGAAGAATTTATGGTAGTAACACACGCAGTGATAATAGATGGCATTTATTGAGTACTTACTGTGTTCTAGTACTTTACATCTTTCAGTTTAATCCTGTAAGTAATTTTACATGGTTAGTACTATAATTGTCATTTTATGGGTGAGGAAATTTAAGTACAAAGAGGTTACATAACTTGCCTAAATTCACAGAGCTCTAATGTTTGGTGGAGCTGGGTTTAGCATCCAGGCTATACTTCTAGGTACCAGTTTATCTCCATTTTTTATTTTAAATAGGGGAACTTAGAGTTAATAAACTCCCTAAAACCCCCATACTTTACAAGTGGCAAGGCTAGAATGTGAACCCAGATTTTTTGGATTTCATAACTGTGTTCTTTTTTTTTTTTTAATATTTTTATTTATTTCTAGGAGAGAGAGAGACAGCGTGAGCAGGGGAGGGTCAGAGAGAGAGGAAGTCACAGACTGAAACAGGCTCCAGGCTCTGAGCTGGNACAGACTGAAACAGGCTCCAGGCTCTGAGCTGGCTGTCAGCACAGAGCCCGACGCGGGGCTCGAACCCACGAACCGCGAGATCATGACCTAAGCGAAAGTCGGACGCTTAACCGACTAAGCCACCCAGGCGCCCCGCATAACTGTGTTCTTAATTATCACACTATTCTGCCTCTGGACTATTTACTATACAGTAAATACTTCTGATGTGGTATTGTAGAATGGCTTGATTATAACTGAATACAGATCAGATTGCTGTGCTCACTCATACATGAAAGGTGACATTTTGCCTTGATCATAGGGTACCACGCTTTTGACCACTGCTTGACACATGAACTCTACCTGTTGAATTGATATAGAAGATGAACACCTTTGTGGATAGCTAGCAGGATTCCTGATGTTGCTGGGATTCCCAGTAGTGATGTTAGTGTTAATGATCCCATTTCTGGTGATTCAGCGGGAGGACTTGCCTGCCCAAGATGTCGATAACTGGTGGGAGTCAGATGGAACCGGGGAAAGGACATGGCTGTGGGATGAGACAGCACTGTTTCTCCACTTAATTCTAGTACCCTCACTGTTCATTGACACCCTTTTCCAACCCTCTGGTTTTGCCCTGTGTTCTTCCTGCAATTAACTTCTCCCAGATGACTGACTTAACTTCTGCCGACGCAGAATAAGGATAAGTATTGTGTTTTGATCACCTACTTAGTAATGGAAGTGTGATATACTATGGCTGTAAAGAGGGAAGTTTGCTCTGAAATTGTTCATTGCCAGCTAAAGCAGTGGGACTTAGAGGACATTTCTCAATTTTAGATTACAGTCCCTAAATTTCCTGAACTGGACTCCTGAATCTTGACTCCAGGTATTTTACACATATTTAATTCCCACAAAAGGATGTGAGCCCAGACTGACAACAATGTACTTTATTTTCCAGGAAGGATGCCAATTCTGCGCTGCTCAGTAATTATGAGGTAAATAGCTTTGAAATGAACTATTGTATTTTCCTTTCTGGTAGTTTGTCCTTTGCCCCTGAAGATTATTGAATTAGTTTTAATTAAAAATGACTGAATTCATTTGGAGTTTTCACTTTAAAATAGGACAGATGGCACCATCTGATGGACCTCAGAATTATTATAAGCTTGGCAAATTAAACATAGTAAATCAGGGAAGCTGGGAAGACTTTAGTTTATAGTCGGCAATCTTCCCCAAATCCCAAAGATTTTAGATCTTCATTTGACATGCCTTTCTGGGATGGAAGCATCTATTTGGAACTGTTTCTGTCTGTGAACGTTTTCCATTAAAATACTTAATGTCTTTTCCTAATTACCACTTTTACCTATCAAATGCTTTATGTTATTATTTTGATCCCCATAATAGTCTCATAAGTATTAAGACCTTCATATTGAACATGAGAGCTTAGTTGATTCGCCATTAAGGATAATTTAGTACGAACTAAAAGATTTGGAATTTGGGGGCTTGAGGGTTGGGTTGCTGGAGAAAGGGAGTAAAAAAGGAAGGAAGTTGGTGACAGAGAAGATAATATTATTTATTTTTGCCTTCTATTTTGCCTGTGTCTTTTTGGTACTAGCAAAGCCATCTGATAGGTTAACGCTAGATGTAGAAAGAACTGTTTATATATTCATGGTCAATTTTTCATTTTCTAGAATCTGAATTCATGAAGACTTTAGGAGATTTGAGTCTCCATTGTATGATATAGAAGATAGTGGAATTAACACAGTTGGCCATACTCCTTCTTTAAATTGTTGCTACTAATAACAGGAAGGAGATGGTTGTGAGTCAAGCCATTGGCTTTTAGGAACCTCCGTGTATAGTTTGGATTCTGCTGGGTGTTTGGGTGTTTTATCTATTGGGGAAACATTGCATTAACTGGATCTCATGACACTATTTCTGAAAAAGTAATGACAGTCAGGGGAGAGGTTGCATTGTATGTAGTAATGGTCTATGAGCCTGTACTTCCCTCAGTTTTCTAAAACAGGGAAGCTATATCTTCCTCCCATGCTCCTTAGTGCTAACACGTTTTTCCCTTGTCAGAAAAGTTTACTTCCAAAGTTCTACAGCATTTTTCCTTCTTTTTTTTTTGGGTAAAATTTGTATTTAACACTTGCCTCATAATTTTTCTTTTTCAGATATAAATTTGCTAGATTTTCATATTGAAGCAGGATCCTTTTTTTAAAAACACTTATTTTAGTGCCAAAAAATTTTGTTAGGTTTATTTATTTATTTTGGGGTTTGGGGGAAGGGCGGAGGTAGAACAAGAGAATCCCAAGCAGTCTCTACACTGTTAGCATGGAGCCTGTTCCGGGGCTCCATCTCACAAACCAAGAGATCATGACTTGAGCCAAAATCAAGCATTGGATGCTTAACCAACTGAGCTACCCAGGCACCCCTATTTTTAACTTTTTGAGGAACCTCCGTATTGTTTTCTATAGTGGCTGAACAAATTTATATTCCCACCAACAGTGCACAAGGGTTTCCTTTTCACATCCTTGCCAACCCTTATTCTTTCTGGTCTCTGGTATTAGCCGTTTTAACAGATGTTAAGTGATGGCTTATTGCAGTTTTGATTTGCATTTCCCTGATGATTAGTGATTTTGCATCTTTTTATGTGTCTGTTGGTCTTCTGTTCTGAAAAATGTCTATTCTGGTCCTCTGCCCATTTTTTAATCAGATTGTCTTTTTGGTATTTAGTTGTATATGTTCTTTATGTATTTTGGATATTAACTCTTTATCAGATAAATGATTTGCAGATATTTTCTCATCTAGTAAGTTGTCTATTCATTTTGCTGATGGTTTCCTTTGCTGTGCCTTTTCGTTTGATATAGTCCTCCAGTTTTTTATTTTTGCTTTGGTTTTCTTTGCTTTTGGTGTTAAATAAAAAAAAATCATCACCAAGACGGATGTCAGGGAGCTTACCTCTGTTTTCTTCTAGGAGCTTTATGGTTTCAGGTCTTACATTCAATTCTTCAGTCATTTTGAGTTAATTTTTCTGTGTGGTGTACGGTAGTGGTCCACTTTCATTCTCTCCCTTTTGACTGTCCAGTTTTTCCAGCACCATTTATTTTTTAAAATATGAACGGATACCATTTAATCTTTAAAATAATATATATTTTTTAAGTTTATTTTTATTTATTTTGAGAGATAGAGAGCAAGAGGGGGAGGGCCAGAGAGAGGGAGACAGAATACCAAGGAGGCACCATGATGTCAGTGCAGAGCCCTGTGTGGAGCTTGAACTCATGAACCATGAGATCATGATCTGAGATGAAACCAAGAAAGAGTCTGACACTTAACTGGCTGAGCCACCCCAGCACCCCATCCCATCACCATTTATTGAAAAGACTGCCTTTTCCCCATCGTATATTCTTGGCAAAGAATAATTAAAATTAATTCACCACAGGAGTGCCTGGGTGGCTCAGTCGGTTGAGTGCCTGGCTCTCATTTTCAGCCCAGGTCATGATCTCGTGGTTTGTGAGTTTGAGCCCCCTCTCAGGCTCTGAGCTGACAATGTAGAGTCTGCTTGAAATTCTCTTCCTCTCTCTCTGCTTCTCCCTCTTATGCACGTGCTCTCTTCTCTCTCTCTCTCAAAATAAATACATTTTAAAAAATTAACTAACCACATATGTGTGAGTTTATTTCTGGACACTCTGTTCTGTTCCTTTGATTTATGTGTCTTTAATGCCAGTAACGATATTGTTTTGATATACATGGCTTTGTATATAATTTGAAATCAGGAAGCATGATGCCTCCAGCTTAGCTTTTCTTTCTCAAGATTGCTTTGACTATTTAGGGTCTTCTGTGGTTCCATGAAATTTTAGGGTTGTTTGTTCCATTTCTGGGAAAAATGCTATTGGAATTTTGATGGAGATTACCCCAAATTTGTAGATTGCTTTGTGTAGTATGGATGTATTCTTCTGACCCATGAACATGGAATATCATTCCATTTATTTGTGTCATCTTCAGTTTCTTTCATCAACGTCTTAATAGTGTTTAATGTACAGATATTTCATTCCTTGGTTAAGTTTATTCGTAGGTATTTTATTCTTTTCAATGCAATTGTAAAAGGGGTTTTCCTAATTTTTCTTTCTGGTATTCATTATTATCATGTAGACACGCAGTAGTTTTCTATATATTGATTTTGTATCCTGTAACTTTACTGAATTTATTTATTTTTAGTTCAGTTTTTTGGTAGAGTTTTTAGGGTTTTCAATATATAGTATCATATGATCTGCAAATAGTGACAGTATTTACCACTTTCCAATTTGGCTGCCTTTTATTTCTTTTCTTGCTTAATTGTTCTCGAAAGGACTTTCAGTACTGTGTTGAATAAAAGGGGCAAGAGTGGGGCGTCTGGGTGGCGCAGTCATTTCAGCATCCAACTTTGGTTCAGGTCATAATCTTGCAGTTGGTGAGTTCAAGCCCCACATCGGGCTCTGTGCTGACAGCTTGGAACCTGGAGCCTGCTTCGGATTCTGTGTCTTCCTCTCTCTGCCTCTCACCCTCTTAAAATCTGTTTCTGCTTCCCTCCCCCCCCCCCAAAAAAATAAATAAACATTAAAAAAACAAAAGGGGCAAGAGTGGCATCTTTGACTTCCTGATCTTATGGGAAAAGCTTTCAGCTTTTCACTGTTCAGTATGATGTTAACTGAGGGCTTGTCACATCTGACCTTTACACATTGAGTACGTTCCCTCTCTACCCACTTTTTTGAGAGTTTTTATCATAAATGGATATTAAATTTAAAACATTTTTAATGTTTTATTTTTAGTTTTTAGAGAGAGTGTGAGTGGGTGAGAGGCAGAGCAAGAGGCAAATAGAGGATCCAGAGTGGGCTCTGTGCTAACAGCAGTGAGCCCAATGTGGGGCATGACGTGAGTCGAAGTCAGATGCTCAACTGACCGAGTAACGGAGGTGCCCCTGATGTTGAATTTTAGAAAATTCTTTGTCTGCATCTATTGTGATATAATATTTTAGGGAAATTTACTTTCAAATATTCATATATTTTTGAGATCAGAGGAAATCAGTGATATGGTGTATATTAATAAGGAGATATTTGAAATATTTTCAGTAAACTAATGAATTTGGATTATTTGACTTAGATAAAAGCATTTTTAAGATGTCATATGCTTCTTGGGGCGCCTGGGTGGCTTAGTCGGTTAAGCGTCTGACTTTCGCTTAGGTCATGATCTCACGGTTCATGGGTTCAAGCCCTGCGTCGGGCTCTGTGCTGACTGCCAGCACAGAGCCTGGAGCCTGTTTCAGAGTCTGTGTCTCTCTCTCTCTCTCTGACCCTCCCCTGTTCATGCTGCCTCTCTCTCTCCTAGAAATAAATAAAAATATTAAAAAAAAAAGATGTCATATACTTCTTGACTCATATTTGCTCTAATGGAAGAGTTAGGGGTTTGTAAAAGAAAAGAGGTATTCTATTTATCGTTCAGAATCATTGACTTTGGGGCGTCTGGGTGGCTCAGTCTGTTAAGCTTCTGACTGTTGTTGGTTTTGGCTTGGGTCATGATCTCATGATTCGTGAGTTCAAGCCCTTAGTTGGACTCTGCTTTGACAGCAATCAGTCAATCCATCAATCAACAAATCTATCTTAAAAAAAATCATTGCTCATGAAATACGTACATTTCTCACATTTATTCAGAAAAATTTTTTATCACTTCTCAGGTGTTCCAGTTACTGACTGATCTGAAAGAGCAACGGAAAGAAAGTGGAAAGAACAAACACAGTTCTGGGCAACAGAACTTGAATACTATCACCTATGAAGTAAGCCTAGGCTTGGCGAGGGGCTACCCAAACTACCATTGAGGGGGGTGGGTTTATTCCAGGGATGACCGGCCACCAAATCATGACTAATTCTTACTTGATTTGAGTAGTTTTACTCTAACCCAGTTTTTATTCTGTTCATGCAAGTGGAGGGAATTTGGCCAATGGTGAGGGCTAGCCAATGACAAAGTTGGAGGGAATAGTTAAAAAAAAAAAACCGTCCTCAATTCTAACACCATTTGTGAGCCAGGGATCCCTAAGACCACCCTCGGGTTCAGTAATTTACTGGAAGTATTCAGAACTTACTGAAAGCTATTATATTCACAGTTATAGTTCATTACATGAAAAGGATACAGATTAAAATTGGCCGAGGGAAGAAGAATATGCAGCAGATTCTCGGAGAAATGCCAACACAGAGCTTCTATTGTCCTCTAATGTGGGTGGAGTCAGAACATGTTTCTCTTGAAATCGTGTGTGATAGTACATACAAAATATTTTTAACCAGGGAAGCTCAGCTGAACTTCAGTGTCCCGAATTTTTTTTAACGTTTATTTATTTTCGAGACAGAAACAGAGCACGAGCAGCAGAGGGGCAGAGAGAGAGGGAGACACAGAATCTGAAACAGATTCCAGGCTTTGAGCTGTCAGCACAGAGCCCGATGTGGGGCCTGAACCCACAGACCGCGAGATCATGACCTGAGCCGAAGTCGGACGCTTAACCAACTGAGCCACCCAGGCGCCCCCAGTGGCCTGAATTTTTAATTGTGCTCTGTTGTATAGGTGTGATTGAATGATGAGTTGCCCATGTAGTTCATCTCAGCCTCCAGGTGCACTGATACTGCATGACCCAAAGCCCCTACCCTAAGTCACATTGTTAAGACCTTTCAGTATGACCTAAGGCTTCCAGACAAAGGTAGTCCTACTAAGGATAACATTCCAAGACTCTGGAGATTGCCTCTCAGAAGCTGAAGGCAAAGGCTATACTGTCTCTTTGGGCAAAGCTAAATTCTTTATTGCACAAAAAGTGATGATTTTTATTGTAAAAACTTAGTACCAAAAAGTATAAAGAAGAAAGCTAAAGTAATTCATAATCTAACTAGTTGACATTTTGCTAAGTTTTCTTCCAACGTTATGCTTTATTCTTAAAAAGAGGAAAGTTGAAACCATTATATTTGTTATAAATGATGTTTGATTTTTTAAGTATATATTTTTTTAAGTTTACTTTTATTTATTTTGAGAGAGAACAAGCTGGGGAGGAGCAGAGAGAGAGGGAGACAGAATCCCAAGCAGGCTCTGTCTGATAGGGGGCTCAAACTTAATGAACTCATGAAGAGTGAAATCATGACCTGAGCCAAAGTCAAGAATTGACGCTTAACTGGCTGAGCCCCTCAGGTGCCCCTGTGACGTTTGATTTTGTATCTGTCATTTTAATTTATGTTTTCAGCTATTTCCTTTCAAATCTGATTGTATCTCCATAAAGGACTTAGTTTTTATTTTTTTAACTTTTTTTTTTTAACATTTTATTATTCTTTTTAAAGTTTATTTATTTTGAGGAAGGGTGAGAGAACAGAGGAGGGGGCAGAGAGAGAATTCTAAGCAGGCTCCACATCATCAGCACAGAGCCTGATGTGTGATGACTGATGTGTGATGACTCGAACTCATGAAGTGTGAGATTATGACCTGAGCTGAAATCCACTAGTTAAGGATGCTTAACTAAGTGAGCTGCCTGAGAGAGAGAGAAAGAGAGAGAGAGAGAGAGAATGAATGAATGAATGAATAGCCCAAGCAGACTCCATGCTCAGGGGCTTGATCTCAGGACCCTGGGATCATGACCTGAGCTGAGATCAGTCGTATGCTTAACCAGCTGAGCCAACCAGCCACCCCAGGATTTAGTTTAAATTATCTTTATCTTTTCAAAGACATAATTAAACCTGGATTCAGTTACTATAATTCTTTTTAAGGAATTTAAGAGGGTTTTTTAGCATGTTTGTCACCATTCCTCCCTGCCTGGTTTTGTTCATCTAATCATGTTTTTAAAATCCCATCATTCATTTATTCACTCATGTTCTTTTACATTGTATCCTTCATCCCTTTAAAAAAAAAAAAAAGAAAGAAAATGAGGGGCACCTGGGTGGCTCAGTTGGTTAAGTCTCCGACTTAGGCTCAGGTTCGTGTGTTCAGGCCCTGCATTGGGCTCTGTGCTGACTGTTCAGGCCTAGAGCCTGCTTTGGATTCTGTATCTCCCTGTCTCTCTGCCCCTCCCCCTCTAATGCTGTGTCTCTCTCTGTCTCAAAAATAAATAAAACATTAAAAAAATCAATAAAAGAAAATGAAATGTTTGTAATTAGTTTTACAGCCAAATTTAAAGCTGTCAGGTGATCTTACTGCATGCTTAAATCAATCTAAGCTCGCTGCCACTCTGGTACATATTTGCTAAGTTCTTTTCATTTGTGGTACCTTAAGGAAAATTATTGTGGTGGTAAGTGTTTTGAGACTTTTTATACCTGAGAATATATTTCTCGTGTTTTTAATGTGAATGACCCCTCATCTGAACATGGAGTTCTTGGGTTCAGCCTCCATTCTGCAAGGCTCTGTAGGTACTATTTGGTCTCTTAATTGTTTGTTGTGGAGGAGTCTGAGACCAAACAGATTTTTGAAGTTGGGAGGAACTCTTAACTTAGATGTCTGAGGTTACTGTTTACTTTTCAGGCTTGAAATTCCTTTCAGGTTATGTCCAGGTGGGATTTCCTCTTTTTAAAAAAAAGTAAGAGCCTTTTAATTTGAGATAATTTTACTTTTACAGAAAAGTTTATAAAGATGGTGCTGAGAGTTTCCAAATGCTCTTCCCCCAGGTTTCCTTGATGTTAACATCTTATATAACCATGGTACAGTGATCAAAACTAAGAAAATTATACAAAGATTTTATTAAAATTTTCTCAGTTTTTCCATCATTGCTCTTTTTCTGTTCAAGGATCTGATCTGAGATGCCGTTTTGTATTTAACATGTTAAATGTTAACATGTCTCCTTAATATCCTCCAGTCTGTAACGGATCCTCAGTCCTTCCTCATCTTCCATGTATGACTTTGACACTTTTGAAGAGTACCAATGCAAGTATTTGATAGAGTGTCCCTCAGTTTTGGTTTGTTTGATGTTTCCTTACGACCAAACTGAAGTAACAGCTTTTGGGGAAGAATGCCACGGAAGCGATTTGCCCTTCTCATTGTGTGATACAGGGTACATGATATCAGTGTCTTCTCACTGATACTGTTAACTTTGATCACTTGATTACGGTGGTATCTGCCTGGTTTCCCCACTGTAAAGTTACTGTTTTTCTGTTTCCACTTTGTATTCTTAGAAAGGAGTCACCCAGTCCAGCCCATTTAACAGCATGGGGATTAGGCTTCACCTCTTGAAGGGAAGGAGATCAAAGAATTTGAGGACATATATTAAAACCATCACAGTGTTAATAAATATTTGGGGAAGATGCTTTGAGGCTATGCAAATATCATACTTATCCTTATTAAGCTTTTGCCCATTAATTTTAGTATTCTTTGGTAGGTCTTTCCTGCAGTAATTATTACTGTGGTTCAATTGCCTAATGGTGATTATTTCCCTCATTCCTTCCATATTTAACACAGAATTCTTCTGTAAGAAATAATTGTTCCTTCTCATTCATTTATTTATTTACTTATATCGATAGGGATTTGTGACTAATCTATTCTTTGGTGTTCTTGTCTTTAAAAAAATTGTCTGAAGGGGCTCCTGAGTGGTTCAGTCTGTTGAGTGGCTGACTTTGGCTCAGGTTGTGATCTCACGGTTCATGAGTTCAAGCCCCATGTTGGGCTCGCTGCTCAGCATGGAGCCTGCTTTGGATCCTCTGTCCTCTTCTCTCTCTCTGCTCCTCTCTTAAAAATAAACTTGCACTGTCCCTTAAAAATAAACAGTAAAAAAAATTGAAATATGACAAAACTGTCAGATTGAGTTTTTTCTTTTTCTTTTTTAAAGATCAGAAAAGCTTTCTTCTAGAATGTCATTCATTATTCCTGTTCTAGCTACTGATTTTCTTTTTGGGGAATTACCATAATATGAAGATTGACTCTCCTGAAGGCATTTATTTTATAGAAGATTAAAAAAAATTTTTTTATGTTTATTTTTGAGAGAGACACAGTAAGAGCAGGGGAGGGGCAGAGAGAAAGACACAGAATCTGAAGCAGGTTCCAGGCTCTGAGCTGTCAGCACAGAGACCGACGTAGGGCTTGAACTCAGAGACCATGAGATCATGACCTGAGCTGAAGTTGGACACTTAACTGACTGAGCCACCCAGGTTTAAAGATTTTTTAAACAAAATTTTACAATACTAAATTATAGCCATGTCTTCCCTTTGTCTCATTCAGGTTTTTTTGGTCATGCTTTTTCTTTTTCTTTTATTTTTTTCGTAGACATTAAAATATATATCAAAAACACCATGCAGGCACCAGAGTCCTGAGATTGTCAGAGAATTTCTCACAGCAATGAAAAGCCACAAGTTGACCAAGTAAGTAAAAATTATTTTAAGTAGGTAAAGTGTGACACATAATGAAAATGATAGCTTACAAAAACCATCCTTAGCATTGGCGTATTTCTATTTAGTGTGTTTGGAATTATACTTAACACACAGTTCTCTTTTATAATAGGATCATGGTATCATAGATCAGACAGCTAAGATTTAGACACAAAGGTCCTTCTAGAGCCAGAAACAGAATGGACTTTTTAATCTCAAAGTCTTTTTTGTTGTTGTTGTTTGATTCGCAGTTCTGTGAGCTGTCCCATAACCCCTTTCTAGCACTCAGGTCAAATTGGTTAGAAATGGAGTTCACAAATTAAAGTACTCTTTATAAAGTTGATCACTTAAGTCATTTGGCATTGTGTTTACTTGGGGCAAAAATGGCCTGATAATACTGTCTCCTAGGGCTCGATTAATTTTCCTTGTGGCTTTTTTTTGGAATAGGAATTATAAACATCATTAAAAATTGGATTAAGATTAGTTCATATGAGAAGAACACTAGCCCTAGTCTTTTAGAATTAATACCAGAGCTGATAAATCCCAAAAGCTGTTGTCATTCATTCAGGATTATTAATCAGTTTCTTTTGAAGGAAACATTGCTATTATTTCAGGCGCACGGAGGGATGCACTAACAATAGACTGACTTCTCTTGCCTCTCCAGATGAACTCCGAAGGCAGTCATCTTTCAGATGTGTGTTTGTGTATATACTTTGTCTTTTTACCTGTGGTAAAATTTATCATCTTAACCACTTTTAAGTGTATAGTTCATTAGCATTAAATATATTTACATGTTGTGCAGCCAGTATCCAGGAATTTTTAACCTTGCAAAACTGAAACTCTACCAATTAAATAACTCTCATTTCCTCCTCACCCCAACCCCTGACAACTACTGTTCCATTTTGTTTGTATTCTTTTTCAAGATTGTTTGGATTATTTAGGGTCCCTTGGGATTTCCATATGGTCTTTTCTATTTCTGCAAAAAATGTTATTGAGATTTTGATAGGGATTATGTTGAATCTGTAGGTTGTTTTGGATAGTATTGACATCTTAACATGTAAAGTTTTGCAGCCCCCACACATGGATATCTTTCTGTTTATGTCTTCTTTAATTCTTTCAGCAATATCTTTTAGTCTGCAGTGTACAAGTCTTTTACCTCTTTGGTCAAATTTATTCCTAAGTATTTAATTTTTTTCAGTGATGTAAATGAATTGTTTTCTTAATTTTTCATATTGTTCATTATTAGTGTATAGAAACACAATCTGGTTTTCGTGTGCTGATTTTGTATCCTGTAACTTTGCCGACATTGTTTATCAGTTCTAACAGTTTTTTGTGTGGAATCTTTAGGCTTTTCCACCATAACATAACGTTGTTTGTGAACAGGGATGATTTTACTACTTCTTCAGTTTGCATGCTTTTTTGTCTTTTTCTTGTTTAATTCTTTTGGCTAGGACTTCCAGTACTATGTTGAATAGAAGCGGTAAAATCAGGGATGCCTGGGTGGCTCAGTTGGTTAAGTGTCTGACTCTCGATTTCAGTTCCAGTCACGATATCATGGTTTGTGAGATTAAGTTCCATTTCATACTCTGCACTGACTGCATGAAGCCTGCTTGGGATTCTCTCTCTTCCTCCCTCCCTCTCTTTCTCTTTCTCCCTTTCTCTCTCTCAAAATAAGTAAATTTAAAAAAAAGATGTGAAAGCAGGCATCCTTGTCATGTTCCTAACCTTAGAGAAAAAGCTTTCAACCCCTGCACCATTGAATAGATGTTACCTGTGGGATTTTCATATATCGTCTTTGTTAATGTTAATGTAGTTTCCTTCTATTCCAAGTTTATTTTTATAATGCAAGGTATTGAATTGTGCCACATGCTTTTTCTGCAACAATGCAGATAATTAGGTGGGTTTTTTCCCTTCAGTTTTTAATATGATGTATATTACATTGATTTTCATGTGTTGAACAGTTCTTGCATTCCATGAATTAATCCCATTTGGTCATTGTGTGTAATTCCTTAATATGCTGGTTGGGTTGATGTGCTATTGAGGATTTTACAGCAACATAAGAGATACTGGTTTGTATTTTCTTGTGATGCCTTTATCTGGCTTTAGTCTCAGGGCAGTCTTGGCTTCATAAAATGAGTTTGAAAGTGTTTCCCCTGCTTTAATATTTTAGAGGAGTTAGAAGATTTGGTGGTTTTTTTTGTTTGTTTGTTTATTTTTTGAATATTTGACACACTGCATTCTTTAAGTAGGTTCACCACCCAATGTGGGCCTTGAATTCATGACCCTGAGATCAAGGTTGCATGCTCTACCAGCTGAGCCAGCCAGGTGCCCCTGAGAAGATTTGGCGTTAATTCTTGGTTAAATGTTTGCTAGAATTCACCTTTGAAACCATCCGGTCCTGGACTTTTCTTTGAGGTTTTAGATTACTCATTAAATCTCCCTACTACTTCTAGGTCTGTTCAGATTTTTTATTTCTTCATCATCCAGTCTTGGTAAGTTGTGTCTAGGACCATATGTATGTATTTTTGAGGGAAGATTATTCACTTGTTACCCAAAGTCATTCTTGTTCTTTGGTGTATTAGAAGCTTTAAACTTAGAAGCTTATGTTATTGGGGTGGGTCACAGAAGGTCTTCCTTATTAAAAGCCAGTGTAAGTTATATCAGATGAACCAGGGAAGTTTTATATCTCTATCTTACATTCCATTTACACATTTACACATTCCATTTATTGAATCCATTTAGTGTTTGTGCATTTGACACTCTAATTGTAATTCTCATAGCAGCCCAATGGACTGCTGTTACTATATAGACTCTACTGCAGATGGGGATATTTGTTTGTTATTTCAGGTTTCTAGTTTAACTTTGTCCTTTTTCGCTATCCTTGCTTTTGATTCCTGAATGATAAAGCACTGTTGTTATTCTGCCTGTTAGGATGAAATCACTTCATTCTGACTGATCCAAGTAAATCAGCATGTCACCTCTTTGAGTTTTCTCCAAACACTTTTAGTGCGGTAGGCCAAAATGCAAGAAAGAAGACTTTGTGAGAGCACCTAATGTTGTAGTCAGTTGAAACTGTTCCTTTAGTCTAAATGCTTTGGGGCCATTACAACCATTAACATTGATAAAACAGATTTGAAGCAGGTTGCATTTACAGTGAAAAGAACAGAAGCTGAATCCTGACTGTTATGGCTTTGTTGCCTACCTTTGGTACAACCTTTATGGCCAGTATTTGTGGTGTTTGAAGTAGTTGGTGGTGCCTGGCCTTTTTTGGTAGCTGAAAATCCTTTTAAGAAATATAACAAAATCAGGGGTCCTAGATGGCCCAGTCAGTTGATTGGCCAGTTCTTGGTCTTGGCTTGGGTCATGATCTCATGGTTTGTGAGTTCGAGCCCCACATTGGGCTTTGTGCTGATAGTGCGTAGCCTGCTTGTGATTCCTCCCGCTCATGCTCTCTCAAAATAAACTTTAAAAAAAAGTGTGCATAACCAGATGGTTCAGAAATTGGATTTTAGCTCTGAGAATAGACTAACTTAACCAATGGAAATGTTTCTATAGAATATTAAGGAAAGGGAAGGTGAGAAGAGAAAGTGTAAGGGTAGGAGAAGTAAGGCTTTGGCTGTTTTATATAAACTGCCTCATTTAATCCCGACAGCCAAAGCAGTGTTTTACAGAGGAGTGAGCTGAGGCTCAGATAAGTTGCATATGTGCCCCAGATGAGGCCCAGAGTGAGCGGTACAGCTTACCCAAAGTTCCATGTTGTTTTTCTGAGAAAGCTGGTAAGTGTGTGTTTCAAGATAGTGGACCCAGTGAGCCCTGTGGCTGTCCTTGCTTGGGCGTTGAGAAGGAACTTTTTCTCCTGGGGAAAAATAACAGCTGGGCAAGAAAATTTTTCACTCCCAGAAATTTTAGAGTAACGTTGGATTGCTACAAATATTTCTCTTCAAACGATTTATCTTGTCCTTAATATACAAGCAATTCATGTGTCTTGCAGAACAGTTTTATCACCCCCAGAAATTATCTCATTTTATCTTTTGTAATTAATCCCTTTTCCTATGCCCAGTGCCTGGCAACTGATCTGTTTTCTTATGAGTATGCCCTTTCCAGAAATCCTGTAAATGAAATAATACAGTATATAGCCTTTTGAGTGTGTCTTTCCATTCGCATACTGAATTTGTGATTTATCCACATTATTGTGCATTTGTTCCTTTTTATTGCTAAGTAGTATTCCACTGTGTGGATATCTTGCAGTTTGTTTATTCACTCATCAGTTGAAAAGACATTTGAGATGATTCCAGTTTTTGGCAATTACGCAGCTACTGTACACATACCATACCTGTTTTTATGTGAGCATAGCTTAAGAAAATGCCAAGCTCTTTTCTAAAGTGCACTATTTTGCATGCTCTCTAGCCAAAGTAAGAGAGCTCCATTTACTCCATATCCTCACTAGTACTTGGTGTTTTTAGTAATTTTTATTATAGCTGTTTATATTGGTTTGAAGGGGTATCTCATTGTGGTTTTAATTACACTTCCCTGGTAATGAATGACCATTTTCTTATTTTTATTTTACTTACCTTCTTGGATGAAATGCCTGTTTAAATATTTTGCCCATTATTTTGTTTTTATTACATAGTTTTGAGAATTTTCTTTGTATATTCTAGATATAAGTCTTTAGTTCATTATGTAACTTGCAGATATTATCTCTAATTTGTGGTTTGTCTTTTCATTCTCTTAACACGGTCTCAGAGCAGAAGGTTTTGATGGATGTAAAAACTGCCATATCCAGGGTTACAAAGATTTTTCTCTTATGTTTTCTTCTAGAAATGATCCATTTTGAGTTGATTTTGAGGGTATGTTGTGAGATAAGGGTTGAGATTTGGAGTGTGTGCATGTGCGCGCCGTGTGCACAGATTTTGAAGTGTTTCAGTGCCATTTGTTGAAAAGACCACCCTTTTCTTTGTTGAATTGCCTTTGCAGTGTTGTAAGAAATCTGTTGA